CTACCTACACCTACCTACCTACACCTACCTACACCTACCTACCTACACCTACACCTACACCTACACCTACACCTACACCTACACCTACACCTACACATCCATGGCTTCAATGAGGAATTGCTTCAATAAGTGTGTTTTGTACATGAAACATAGTAACAAGTGAGGGCACAGCCCAATAACATGTGGTCCATGAAAGAAAGAATTGAGGGTGAGGGAAACAGAAAAGGTATGAAACTTGGGGCATGCAGTACCAATTGGCAAGACAGCATTGCTGACTATGTGGCAAAAGCTAAAGCTCGTGCCAAATGTCTAGCGCATATATATATATATATACACACACATATACATATACATATACATATACATATACATATACATATACATATACATATACATATACATATACATATATATAACATATATATATATAACATATATATATATATACAGTGTGTGTGTAGATGTGAGTGATGTTAGCATTTTCAGTTTGGTTGTGTGCTGTGTCATTTCCTACTAGTTACCTCTCAATGCAATACCGAAAAAGTCTTACTATTGGGTTTCCAATTGTATCCCTAGTCCCAAGGCTGTGCAAGGGGAAAGGCACAGCAATCAGAGAGACTCCAATCCCTGAGACTCAGACTTGAGGGTCTTCATCAAAATGATAGCAACAACAGCACAAAGGAAGAGGCAAAGCATAAAGGAGTTCACAATTGAAAACCAATGAACCTGCCACGAGCGCCAAATCAGGAGGAATGTTCTGCTAAACTTGGATGCTCAGCTTCGCTTCCCTCCACACCCCTACAAATGATTACAGTGCTGATCTGTTGATGATTTGTTGATGATCTGTTGATGATCTGTCGATGATCTGTTGATGATCTGTTGATGATTCGTTGATGGTATGTTGAAAGTCCCATGCTTTGTCAAATATTAGATTGCTTTACACTCTGAGATGCTCGAGACAGGCCAGAGGCAGCGCACAGAGCCTTGTGCTCAAAGAATTTCGGATCCAAATATCGATTTGTCCTGTCCTGCAGCAGGAAAAATGCCACATAATCCTTCACATCCTCTGGACTTTTGGTTCTGTCACTGAGTTCCTTGCCTTGAATTCTTTGTTGGTGGGGAACCAAAGAACTGTGTACGAGAAATTCAATGGAGCTCCCGCGTAGATTGGCCACGGACTCGACGGCTCCATGTCTACCTTGCAGGTCACACCAGGAAGATCCAGGAAGTAAAATGTCAATGAGGAAAGCTGCAGAAAGAACCGACAGAGGTAACGTACGGTATGGTCAGTACATGTCAATACTTGTCAATACAATACAATATAATAAATATATAATTATATATATATACAATATACAATAATGCAGAACGCAAAGAGCAACAAAACGCCAGCAGGACAAGTGATCCGCAAGCGACCTCAATAATTTGATCATTGTTGTAGAAGAGGGTGAAGTGCCGGTGCGTGTAGATTCTGGGAAGAGGTTTGCCCTTGGCGGGCGTTTCCGACACGGTTTCACTTGTCTGAACAAGCAGGCACTGCATTATTTCCAGTCAGTCTTCCCAGTCTTCCCAGTCTTTCCGGTCCTTTCTCTTTCTGTCTTCCTGCCTTGAGCTGCTTTGGAACGGGCGGTGCCGACCCAGACGGCATCTGAAGAGACTTGTTGTTGTCTCGGTACATCATGGAAAATCTACCTCAAAGCTGCGCGGCTGAATGCACCGAGCTTTGCAAGGCAAGCAGCGGCATACTGAGTGTGCAAGTCAGCAAGTCATTTAGCTCATGGCTGACGTCTACAGCAAACTTGGAGTGCTCCCCAACAAACGCCCAAATGGGCAAGTCATCTATGTAGAGCTGATACCTGGTCGGAATCGCCAGCACAGCAACATACCACAACTAGTGATGAAATCATCGCAATTTTGCTCTCACAGCGGGGATTCGCACCAGTAGTTGTCGTTGATCATTGTAGCCAGAGCCTCCCCACTTATCAAAATCATTCAAAAACGATCACTTATCAGATTGTGTTGTTTCTCACAATGCAGATCCATGGCAAACATCGTCAGAAAATGTGACAAATACAGTGACAAAATGTTGCACGCTTCAATGAATAGCTGGAGCTCTGCACATCCCAAAAGTGCCATTTATAGAAAAATAATCAGAATCCATTTGAATCCGATTGAGGAACTAAAATGGGACACAAATACATAAACACACACACACACAATTCTTAATTTTAACATAAACATGCACCTGTCGCACTCTAACGTGGCGACATCTGCGACACGGATTTCAATTTCACTGATATATTGACCATGCCAAGGCCTTGGTTTGCTCGTCTTTCAATCTCATGTTGCAGAGCGGCGTCTGCGGTTTGTTTTGACCGAAATGGATGTCCAGCCTCCATCACGGAGACAAAAGATATTTTTGACAAATTCAAAATAAGAACCTGCGAACAAACCTGCATGATATTGCTACTTGAATTTCGGGGTGACGTACCAGTTTGACTACTGAACTGCGACGCGAAGTATATCATCTGATTCTCGCAAACCTTGGCGATGAGAAGAAGGCATGCCCTTCAAGCGTCTCACCGATCGAAAGCCTGCAACAACAAAAAGGACAATGAATAATGACAACAACAAACGGCAAGGCCGGGCATCATTGTTCGTGCCACAGGGAGAGGAATTTTCTGCGGTTGCATCATAGTTCATCTAAAATAAGTCGAAATTTGGCCTTTCTCTGAGGGCAACACTCTCCTTGCTCTACTGCAATGTCGTCGCCTAGGGACGGATCTTGTGTTTGAACAATGACGCGTTTGAACTAAGAAATGTTTGGATTCATCATTCATCTTGACATGACTCTAGTCATTCATGGATCCAAACCAGCATGTGTCAAAAAACCTGGATAACTGGATAACATGTTTTCCTGAGAAATTGACCTTCTAGCTCACACAGGCCAAGTGTGCTATATTCGTACGTCTCCTGATTCCAAAAAACAATTTGCAACGCCATGCAACAAGAAAATGAATTCAAAAGAAAACACATGAAAGCATTTGGTCCTGTGGGTTGTTGTAAGGACCAACCTTGTCAGTCCACACTACCACATCTTCTCCCATCTTGTAGGTGTGCGTGTCTTTGCCTTCACTCAATACAAAAACACCGAAAAATGGCAAACATACTCCAAATCTGGAATTATGGATTCATGACTAAACCGCGCCTGCCCACACCATTGATGAGTCTGTAGCCACCAAAACTGCAACCGCAGCCACCCAGGCATGACCTGGAAGGGCATCACTCTAATTTTTGTTTCTTATGTCCTGCACGCCGATGCACACACAAAATGTCTGCACCTGACGGCATTGCCACAAAGCAACTGCAGTGACAAGGGGCTACTACACAGGTCTTTTCACCTGAACTACCAACCCCAAAATCCCATTACCGGTCTACCCCTGAAGCTGCGGCGCAAAGAGGAATGGAAACAACATCCTATTTCAACACGCACTTACCAGTGCACATCGCCAGAACCCTTTTTTGATTCTGCCCGCAAGCACAAACACAAATTGCCAAACTAATTCGTCACCACAAAACGTGCCCAGTTTTTCGTCGCAAAACAGACAAGAATCCTGCAAATTGTTTGTTCTAGAAGGTAAAAAGGATCGAATTGCGTTTGTTTTATGTTTGGGGCAACGATTTAAGATCCCAATCAACAAACATGCCCTAACGCATCGCATCTGTGATCCACATCCCAAAAAATACATATGATTCGAATTTTGAAACAAAGAACTCCAGCACGTGCTGCCGCATTATCTGTCAGTATCTTTCCCGCAATGTCCTTATTTTGTTCACCATTGTGGTTGCAAGACTCCGTCCAAATATTTCGCCCAAAATGTTTTCACAAAAATCACCAACTACCAGTAGTACCGCACAAGGCGGTGGCGGAAGTTTCAAAAATAGAAAACCTATAGGAGAGGTTGGTTGTTGTGAATCACGGATGGCAGAGCGAAGCCACTGATGGACCGAAAGGTGGATGAGGTCTCCTCTTTCTGTCTCTTTCTCTGACCATCTACCTACCTACCCACCTATCTCTATGCATCCATCTATCTCTCTCTCTCTCTGTCGTGTAGTGCAGTGTGGTGTAATTAGTGTAGTGTAGTGTAGTGTAGCGTAGTGTAGTGTAGTCATATAGTTGTAGCTGTAGTTAGTGTGACGTAGTGTAATGTAGTGTAGTGTAGTGTAGTGTAGTGTAATGTCATTAGTGTAGTCTAATGTAATGTAGTGTAGTTGCAGTTGCAGCTTTAGGTGCCGTGCAGTGTTATTCAGTGTAGCGTGGTGGGGTGTAGTGTAGTGTAGTGTAATTAGTGGAGTGTAGTGTAGCGTAGTGTAAATGTAGTATTGTTGTAGTTGCAGTTGCAGTTGCAGTTGTAGTTGTAGGTGTAGTGCAGTGTTATTCAGCGTAATGTAGTGGAGTGTAGTGTAGTGCAGTGTAATTAGTGTAGTGTAGTGTAGTGTAGTGTAGTGTAGTGTAGTGTAGTGTAGTGTAGCGTAGTGTAAATGTAGTATTGTTGTAGTTGTAGTTGTAGTTGTAGTTGTAGTTGTAGTTGTAGTTGTAGTTAGTGTAGTGTAGTGTAGTGTAGTGTAGTGTAGTGTAGTGTAGTGTAGTGTAGTGTAGTGTAGTGTAGCGTAGTGTAGTGTAGCGTAGTGTAGTGTAATGTAGTGTAGTGTAGTGTAATTGCGTGTAATGTAGTGGAGTGTAATGTAATGTAGTGTAGTGTAGTGTAATGTAGTGTAGTGTAGTTGTAGTGTAGTGTAGTTGTAGTGTGGCGTAGTGGAGTGTAGTGTAATGTAGTGTAGTGTAGTGGAATGTAGTGTAGTGTAGTGTAGTGTAGCGTAGTGTAATGTAGTGTAGTGGAGTGTAGCGGAGTGACTATTATCGCAAACGACAAAACGCCCAAACAAACAAAAAACTAGACGACGGATGGCCCGAGAGCGTAGAGGAGCAGGGTCTTCTCTTGTTAGTATGGAGACGCAATATTAGAAACGATATATGAAAGCTGTGTTATAGGCAGTCGAGAAGAGGAGTATCAAGACAAAATAGTGAGAAGTGCAAGACAATAGTTTGCATCGCAAAGACTTTTACACACAGACGCTTTTACACAGACGCTTTTACACACAAAGCTTTTACCCACAGAAGCTTTTACACACAGAAGCTTTTACCCACAGAAGCTTTTACACACAGAAGCTTTTACATACAGAAGCTTTTACACACAGAAGCTTTTACATACAGAAGCTTTTACACACAGACGCTTCTACACAGACACTTTTACACACAGAAGCCTTTACACACAGGAGCTGCTTTTACATACAAACGCATGTACACACAGAAGCTTTTACACTTATTTTTGGGCACAATGGACGTGGACAGCTTAAGGGTTACCTATTGTGAAGTAAGAAAGAGGGAGACAAGGAGATGGAGTAAACGCAATACGCGAGGAACAAGGTTATATATATAACCACGCGCACGCGATACGTCGAAAACGCAAACGAACATGTTCGGAAAAACTGAATGCCAAATTCGAAACAACGACATCACTGCAACAACAAATGACATGGTGGCTTCATCTGAGAAAAATTGCAAGAGTGGCGCACTCGCTTTTTTGTCCAAAAGATTGCTCATGTCAACTGGGGAAAGTTTTGGATCGGACACGCTATCCGACTGGTGTATGCAAAAGGATTTCGGTCAGCTTGATCGGTATCATGCTTCCAACCCAGACCAAAGTTTTCCTTTGTTAGATTCCAGACTGCGTCTTGCTTGCAGCTCCTACGACATACCCTGGGTGGGAAGAGAAGCTTGCTGAACAGGGCGGGTCAAAAATCAAATGGCTTCCCTGATTGTCAAAGTGGAAACTTTTGTCCACTTGAAGGAGAGGCGTGGACACACACTGGATTACAGATTTATTGAAACAAGTTCCCCATGTTTGAACTTTCTTTGAAAATTTGACATCAGTGAAATTTAGAGTCAAGTTTCATCACAGTACACGTTCGACAGTTCTGTGAATAAAGAAGGATAAACCAAAAAAGGTGAACACAAAAGAAACGTACAGTTTCAGGTTCGATTGTTTTGTTGGACATGTTTCCAAAAACAGGTGAAGTGAGTGCATACAGCACAGAAAGTCTCATTGTTTGTTTCAGACTTCACTTAAAAGGTTTGCAGCAGTTCCACTTGTTTTGCTATACAAGCAAAACACCATTGAGCCCAACAATAAGGCAATCATCTTTGTACCAAAGAGGACGTGCTTATTTTTGGGCACAATGGACGTGGACAGCTTAAGGGTTACCTATTGTGAAGTAAGAAAGAGGGAGACAAGGAGATGGAGTAAACGCAATACGCGAGGAACAAGGTTATATATATAACCACGCGCACGCGATACGTCGAAAACGCAAACGAACATGTTCGGAAAAAACGAATGCCAAATTCGAAACAACGACATCACTGCAACAACAAATGACATGGTGGCTTCATCTGAGAAAAATTGCAAGAGTGGCGCACTCGCTTTTTTGTCCAAAAGATTGCTCATGTCAACTGGGGAAAGTTTTGGATCGGACACGCTATCCGACTGGTGTATGCAAAAGGATTTCGGTCAGCTTGATCGGTATCATGCTTCCAACCCAGACCAAAGTTTTCCTTTGTTAGATTCCAGACTGCGTCTTGCTTGCAGCTCCTACGACATACCCCACTGTGACAACCGAGTTGGAAGGACAATGGAGGGCTTGGAACACCCAGGAGCCACGGGGTGTTACACACCAGTCTAGAGGCGTCATCTGCCGGGTTACTGGCGCTAGGAACTCTTGCGAACCAAGGAAGGATACCTGTATCCTTTTCAAGCTTTACAAACTCAGCTAGAATGACTTGTGACAACTCAGTGGATCCATCTGCTCGGATCAAAGCGCTCCTTGCTGCATCGTGGTCCAAGTAGAATACTACCTGAGAATTACTTAATTGTTTTTTCCAGGTTCGGAGGGCAACCAAGACAGGAAAGATCTCTAGTTCGTAGATTGGGTGTTGGCTCTTGGCCAGAAACTCCTCTCGCAAACTGTCTTCAATCTCCAGCCCAAAGCACTCAATCACCAAGCCAGTCTCATTCACCAAGACACCACCAATGGATGCTTTAACTTTGCCATCAGGTTCATAAGCACCGTCAGTGAAAACCATCCAAGTTTTTGAGATTGCCTCGGCCACAAGGACAGGCTCATCCTTCGCAAGCCCAGCTCGGAGGACCACGAGAGCATCCCTCAGAGTTCCGTGCACTTTCACCATATTTGAAGAAGACCTAGAAAACTTTGAAATCACACATACCGCTGCTTTCAGGGTGCGCCCGAAGACAAAGGCGTTGAACCAAACAGGACGTCCAACAGGACGTCCATGCAACCATTCAAGTTCTATGGCACTGACCAAAGTGTCACGTCCTTCGATCATGGTCTCAATCTGTTCAAGCAATTCTCGTCTTCTCGAGTAGGTGTGTCTCAAGGTGAAGTGTCCTTCGTCAACTTTGTTCAAGTCAAATTGCAAACCCAAGGATTTGAAAACTTGATTGAAAGGCGGGGCCTTGTCGCCCTCTGACGCAAAGTCAATTCCCAACAACCTGAACAATGCCACGACATAGAACTGGGCGTTGTCTGACAGTGACATCGGCGACACTGCTGTGAAGTCGTCAAAAAAGCTCGACCAACATATATGAAGTCCATCGGTGCCAATGAAGGCTAAGGATGCCGCCACTCGCAGGAAAGCAACCACACTGCCCGTGGCTCCAGAGGGTAAAGCCAACACATCAGAGAAACGTACTGCGTCAGGCCCAGCTTTCAATGCTACTTTTAAGCGTTTGGTGTCTTCCTCGCTGACCCCAAATTGTTTGTATGCCGCCTTCAAGTCAAATGCGCGGCCGACCCATGGCAGTCTCATGGGGCCACGGCCCGAACGCATCATCGCCAAAAAGGATGGCCACAACCTGGTCAACTGATTCAACCCTAAGCCTCTCAGGCAAGCCAACTGTGGAGTTGACACCACATACCGAGAAGTCATCAATCAACCTCATCTTGCTTTTTTGTTGGATTGGGAAGCGTTTTGCGATGAACTGACCGTTCAAGTCAACATCCTTGCACTCAGCCAACCAACCTTTGTCAACCTCGGCAACTGTCTCCTCCAAGGCATCTGCATCCAATGGAGTCCAAGGTCCTTTCATCAAAGCTCCCACAACTGCAGAGTTTAAACCAAGCGCAATACCCTCCAATTGTTGAACCGTCATCGAGGCTGCTCTGACATGTTTGTCGAACCCACCAGTTTCATGCGCCCATCCTGTCAAAGAAAAACCTGCTACAATGTCGTCCACAATCTTTGCATCACCATAGCCCAAACTGACCAGAATGTG